CTGCATTTTCTCTATTCGTTGTGGTAGCTTTCCCTGTCCATTTGTAATAATCAAAACCTAGAACGGAAGGCACTTGGTTTAATAATAAGAAAACCATGGTTTGCATATACCTTTTTCTTTTCAACTTCAATGTAGCATGACTTTGTGATAGAATAGAGTTTCTTTACATTGCTACCTCCTCTCCCTACAACATTTCCAACTGATAATCCTTCTGGGATCTCCAAACACTCCTGATACGTTTTTCTGTTAGTTCAAGAACACCATGTAGTTTACCAAAGGTTGATACAGTTGGTCATCTGACCCGCATTCATAGGTATAATTATGTTCATCCTTATAGTGTAGCTACCTTAGGCTGGAGAGTGGATAATTAATCACTTCCAAACTGGTAGTTTTATTTCATGGTTAGCTGAGTGAAGCGAGCCCAACTAGTTGCTCGCCAACAATGCGTTGCTAGTAAAGAAAAATGTCAGCTGTATAGCTATACTCATCCTGCTATCCTAAGTAGGCCACAGCTACATGTTGGTACAATAGGTGAACCCGGCCATGACGGTCGCGACATTAGCTCTCTACTATACTAGATAGGTAGCTAACGTTATGAAAAAGAAAGAAAACCAAACATGCCTAAACCAAGAGAGAAAGTCATTTAGCCTTCATAATTTACATGACAAATTACTGAAAACACCGTTGAAGAGACAACTCATGACATACCTGGCCACGAGATCGTGACGGTAGGGGCACAGTTCTCCGTTGGAACGCTTTTCACATTTCCCCGTGAATTCATACTTAGTACAGTGGCCTGAGGTGGCGAGCCCTCCTCCTCTTCCTCTGCCTCTCCCACCAGGGCGGCTCGTCATGGCCTCGAGCTCGGTTTCTTCTGCTAACAGTTGTAGTCCTTAGAGTTAGAGTCTTCGCTCGAGAGTGCACAGAATTATTTATTGTTTCCTAGAAATTATCTCACATCCATGTCCAATGTGGCTGCAGGGACAGAAATGAAGATACACTATTAATCAATCAACGAAAACGACATAAACAAAACAAGTAAAAAAAGCTAGTTATGCCTTGGGGGTCCAGCCAGTTAGTACATACATACATACATGAAGGTATTAGACCATGTGATGCCAAGAGAAAAAAAGAAGCGGAGCTTTGGCCCTCATCAGCAGAGCATACCATAACTTCTCTCTCTGGTATCTCGAGTTTATAAAGGCTACCAGGAGCGCAGTACTTGTGGTTTTGAACTAATGAGATACATCCCCACAAGGCTTTGCCACTGGTGGTATGTGCTGACCATCCCAGACATTCGTGGTTTGGAGCCTAGGCCCCTCCCCACTCCTGCTGGTCAAGGCCAGTACCGAGCCAAAACTCGAAATCGCAATCCTGGCATGCGGATTGGGCCGTGGCAATGAAGCCAGCATACATACATACATACATATAATATACGTACAACTGATTCAAGTTGCAACATTAGGCTCAGTGTATCAGTGTCCCTAGGGTATATACTGTATATAGGCTTTGTTCCACAGAGGCTTCCCGTGTACGTAAGAATGAACATGACTACTACTGAACTGTATACAGGCTGGTACATTGATACTTGCCTCACCAGCCCCAAACACCTCCTGTTGTCACACTGGAAATCACATCTTCGGACTGAATTGGGGGGGAAATGGCTGGCTGAAGCACAGACTTGTGTCTCGTCATAGTAAAAAAAAAGTGGTCATTGTGATAAGTGATAATCAAGCCTGCCTACTGCCTATTAGTACTTACTCGTGGACAACTTTCTTACTAGCAGATGCTCTGTTTTGACATTCTTGTTCATCAGTACCATCTCTGCAGTCACGATACCCGTTGCACCTCTTTTGGCTAGCCACACAAGTGCCACAGTCACACAACCAATCAAAAGCCTTGCATCCTACACAGATAAAAAGACAAAATTGTATTATTAACATAGAAGTAGACCACAAACATGTTGAAAACAATAATCATGCGTGTTGGAGCGCATTACAATGCCCATAAAAAGAATACTCTACAATTCCCCTATGATTAATTGCAGTCAAACATCCTTAGAATCCCCATAGTTAGTTGCCGAGCGCATTAGCCCGAGGCTACTACTCCGGGTTGTATTCTCGTACGTACGTACGTACGTGTCGGTCACGCTTAAGAATGTCAATTAGTCATGCTTAGGGAATGTCAATTAGTCACGCTTAGGAATGTCAATTTCCGCCGTGCGCGCAGATTCGTAGGAAGTCTGGCTTCGCGCGCAGTCAGTAGAGTGCGTGCACGAGCGGCCTCAGTCGGACTGTTTACGCATTGGCTGGCAGGCGCGAGGCAAAATGTGCGCATGCGCATTCCTAGTATACACATACACCAAGCAAGCAAAGGCCTGATGGAGTATACTTTTCCGCGGAATTTTACTGCGGGCAAACCTCCATATAGTCTGTAGACGATGGCACTGTGGTTGCTGGAATAGAGACACCCAATATCAGCTGACTCGACACTACCACTGACGTAGTGAGCTTCCTGGACCTTATTGGTATGGTAGGTTCGGCGAGCCTGCCAGCCTATCTCGGCCCCACCCCACTCCATCCCTCCACACTCATAGATGAACACTGCGTAGGAGTCCGTCCCATTGGTGATCAGAACCGCTTGAAACGTACTTGTAGTACTCTGTGTGGTAGAAACAAATGAAGACAAACGTACGTACATATCCACAATAACATGTCGAATGCAATTGAGTATGTACTTAGTTCACTGGAAGTGGTTCTGGTGAATGGGAAAACAACGTAAGTACCATCTCTCGTCAAAAAGTTGCAGTCCTTGTTGTTTTTTTCATTTGCGGCAAGTCAGTATTTGATATGTAATGAACTCACTGCAGATCCACCATATTTAGCAACGTCCCTCCACTCTACGACCATCATCCTAGTTCCACTGAAGGGGTGATTGGTGTGGGATCTGATGAAGTCACTGACAATAGTCATCTGGAGTCTATCGTACGACGTGAACTGAGTGAACCGGACACTCCCTGATAGCCTGGTGTCAGTCTGGGCTGAGTACGGGGCTATGATGGGTGGTTCATTGTTGTCCCTTATTAATCCAGGTCTGTACTTTTTAGCAGGATATACCGAGATGAAACCATTACTGTTTACCTGCAGTGTGAAAAAAACCACAAGTAATAACCACATCAGGCAAGTAGGAAGTAGTGCAGTGCTACCACCCATTATGCTTCAGTGTAGTTCACAATAATAATGAAAAGCACTAAAGTGCAAACCCTCGGCGAACTGTGCATGTGCGATACTGCCAATTGATGGGCTGGGCTGTTTGTATGCGTTTACTCGTGGTCTCCCGCTAGTAGCTCGCGGAGAGTCTGACACGGGCTAGATACAGTAGTAGATAGCATGCGGGAGTTGATATATGCCATTCGTTGTGACTTCCCGAGCCTCCAAGGTACACAGAGCGAGCGGATCAGGTCGAGGTAAGCCCAGTGTGATTATGCATATTGGCTTTTTCGCTTGTTTTCACGGCACATCTCTCGAACGCAGTCGTTTCAGGAAAATCGCCCTTTTATTATTCAGGTTCGCGTAGTTCTGAAGCGGCTGGTATCACTAATAGGCCACCTCGTAGCCTGTAGTGCCAGAATAAGCGTCGACACACACACAGACAAACCAACTACTGTAACCCTCGCTGTGCATGCGCGCCGAGGGTTAATTACCGTAAAACCGGAAATATTGGCAGCCATTATATTTAGTGTTTTACTCAGACTCCACATATTGGCGGCCATTAATATTAGCGTTTTGTAAGTTGTGGTTAACTTTGTACCTCTTATAGAAACAATTTTGGCGGACAATTAATTTTAGCGATTTATTTCTTAACGCCAAATTCGCTAAATTTAATGGAGCGCCAATATTTCCGGTTTTACAGCATATAGGCATACTTTTCAGATGTGAACACCAAACAATGTTTAGGACAAGGTGATACTGGGGAACATGCCTTCCATGCCTAATAACGGAGACTAGCAGTGTCAAGTACTACTCCACTTAGTTTTGTTAGTACTATACACATGAAGAGTGAGGTATAATATTAAGGCCCATGCTTGCTTTTAGCATGTGCAGATGATAACTGGTCTTCTTGTCCGCCTAAAAGTGCGATATCTCTCCTAGTAATGCCATGCAACAGTCATTTTCAGAGTTTAATTTAAGGAGGGAAAAGATTTCCCCCCCCTTGGAAACTTTGACCTCTCACAATCAACGTGACAAGCAGGTATGTACTAATATTCGTAATTGACAAAAGGCATAATGTAAGTTAAGTCAGCTCGATTTTTTAAGTTATAGCTGCTACAGTATACATTATTTTACTAGTAGTGCCATTGAGGCGATGAGCCACAACACACAGAGTAATAACTGGTGGCAGTCACGTACATATAGAGCGGTGATGTTCCAAGCTCCAGAAGAGAAATATCCATTAGTTTGGATGCGATCACTGACAGCACCATGATTACGCGGCAGTGTTGTGTAGTTTGACAGAGTCAAGAAGTTCAGGTTCCCTGCATGCAAGAGACGTCAGTTACTGTAATTTATCCCAAGGTTGAGATTGGACAGGTTATACATGCAGGTGTGGTGGTGGTTGCATGCAATTCACACTCTGTACATGTGTGTTGCATGTGCCAGCCGGCAAGGTCTCATCCCTGCTGCAGCGCCTTGGTATACGTACGTTGTAATTCAGGCGGATCGCAGCATATCGCCGCTGTGGCGGATCGCAGCATATCGCCGCTGTGCTAGCAGCGACGACATGCTGGGAGAGAAAACACATACCTCCCGTCCCAGCTTGGAGATTCAAGCAGAGAATAGGAACGATTTGTCCAACGATAGCCGGCAACAGAAGGGAGCTCTTTCCTGACCACTTCATCACAGATTCTACTGATCTTCACGACGGTGCCCGAACGCCTTTTCGATAAGGCATGGCCGCCGCAATAATAAACTTCCGTGCGCATGCGCAGCGAGGGGATTGTTACGACTATGCGCTGTGCACATAATTATAATTTCCCGCGCTGCATCGCTCCGCTGATTATTGCCTCAAACTCTGCTTACTTCAACCCGCCGTCTGGCACTCATCATGAGCAGCTCAGGGTATGAACTAAAAATGAAGTGTAAAATATTAGCCAAGTTTCTTGTTCCGCAGGGGATACCCGGGGACTGGAACCAAGGCGGACAAGGACAACCACTCAGACCAGTGCAATCCCAACAACCAGGAGTACGACGGTCATAAGAAGGGATACCCTGGAACTGGCACCAAATCTGATTTGGACAACCATGCCGACCAACTCAACCCCAACAACTCCAAATACACGCCCAAAGGTGGAAAATGAAACACTTTTAGAAGACACTTAGCTTTGTGAGAGACTGTAGAAAAAAGACATTATAGGCAATTGCTGTAGTATATATCTAGTTATATCAAAGTTAGATTGATTCTTTAGCCATAGAATCTTGAGCACATGAAAGTTTGTGTGCATGCTACTGAAATAATAATCATACACTCAAGACGTAGCTACGGAAGAATGAAGCATGGTCAAGTATGAATTTTGTGGCGATGCACCATTAAACTTTTATGTGACAAAAAGAATGGCAGATTGCACGAATGACTCTCAGTAGCTAGCTACCAGCTGCAAAGCAATAGAGGTTGGTTCACTCGGTCTCATCTGCATGTGGAATGGCTGCCAGAATGAGTAAGGCCCCTGAGAAAGTACTTGGATGTCAGTGTGAGATAAGGTCTTAGGAAGTGGCACACATTATCTTATTGCTTTTGTTATTCCCAGGGACAGCAGCATAAATTTCGTATGAACCGTTCTGATTGGTCGGTGGCTGACCAATATTTCCGTATAAGGTCATGAATGTGTTGTATGAGGGGAATGTGTTGTACGAGGGGAATGTCCCGGGGGGGATGGCAGTGGGCACTACCCAACAGAAAGAACATGCTAGGTGCATAGTGAGAAATTACTCATTCCTAGAGCTCAGTAACAACGAAATTCATGACTGGGCAAGAAGACTTGTAAACAGTATATGACTGTTCTGTGAACTAGCTACCACGTGCATAGAGCTATAGCACAGGACAAACAATACCAATGAAAATGAAATTCATGACTAAGACTAACAGTTGTAAACAGTAACATTTCTGTGAACTACATTGTACAATACGCAGAGGAATGGAGTAGGGGACAAATTTTGACAAAGTACCGACACAGCATAGGGCCCACTCCCTATGCACAAGAATGGAAGCCATGAGATCTATTTATAATGAGGCAAAGATATATATACACAACGTTGAGGAGTGGTTGAATATAATAAATTCTCAGTATACAGTCATGCACCACATACTAGCTTAATGCTATTTGTGTATGATTGATCGAAATTTAAAAAATGAGACAAAAGTCGTATGCAACTTCAATGCATGCATAAAGGGAAGCATGTTGGCCAAGAAGGTCGCTTCCCTATTGCGTGTGTGCAAATGGCATCCTAGCATTCGCAGAGATTGGGTAGCGGATAAACAACATAAAACGTTTTCGTGACGCGTATTTTCGTAGCACTATGGTAGACTGATGCGATTTGCAATAGGGAAATGACACATGTCCCTCTTGCAACCTGTTGCATGGAGCTATACTAGCTATACCCATACATTTAACCCACCATCCCTGGTTCTCAAGGCCAGGGCACCCTTTTATGCCTAGGTCTTGCTAGCTGACCTCTCTGATCTAATGGTACTGCCCTACACTATTGTTTTACCTCATTATTATGTTATTCTTGTGCTGCTGTGGTCCTATGGATGTTATTTTGGACCTTTTATATAATCATTTATTTTATATATCGCAGATTATTCTGGTGCCTTTTGATAACTTTTATACCTCCTGTGTCCTACTGTTTGTGCCTGTTTTAGTCGTTTCACTGTCATCGTGCATCAGCTCACGTGTTTTTGCAAGTCCCAAGTAAGCCCTTATGGTTATTGTGTATGTTAATTGTAGCCCTTCTGAAGTCCTGTTTTCTTTCTCTTTTCTTTCTTTCTCTGCATGTAGCTACATGTATATAGTGTGAGCTGTTCAATATTCATTAAACATTGCATGAGACTGTTGAGACTACACACTCTAGGAGTGGCAGTATCGTGACTCACTAAATGTGATGAACAATCTCTGGGTCCTCAGAGTATTAAAAGCAGAGTTCTTCTTTCAAAATCAAGACACTCAGTCTTTCACTAGTGGACAGTGTTCGGATGGTAGCTAAACCACAGCCAAGAAGTCATTAAACAGGCTGCTAGGCTACAACACAGATACTAGTTGTCACCATTATCCAGTAGTAATATAGACAATAAAGGGAACATGAGGTAACACAGCCATCATGCTGCATAAGGGGTGTCTGTTTGGCTTTGTAAAGAATAACGTCTGTGGACACATGCACAGAAGTTTGATCCTTGATAATGCTCATCTTAGCTCACACACTGCATGGCCGTATAGCAAGCGGTCCGGCCGGTCCAGTTTTCCGGCCGGACCACTTCAGGCTCGAATTTGAGGGTGTGGTCATTTTTAGCGAGCGTGCTAGAGCGGCAGTCTATTATTTGACCCGGCCGGCCGCGCTGCGCATGCGCACCATGCGCACACTGCACCGTATTAATCACATTCGACTCACACTCGGCTTTGAGAGCACAAAACAGGCAGAATCTGATCACTTGTGAATTGGTTTGGTCACATGCTATGCAGCATGCTGTATAGCTTATAGTGTCAGTCACGTTGGCAACATTTTTGCACGTGTACACGCACACTATTCTAAGGAGGCTATAAGAATCCTTTTTCTATCATCAATTATGTTACAGAGCATACAAAATTGTAGACAAGTGGCAACACCCAGGCCAACAAAGAGCAGCAGTAATAGGATTACAACTAGGCATTGTCTCAAAGTGCTGCGTGTGCTGTAGCAGGATTAGGCAAGTGTTCAGACAGCACAAAGACTAATTGAGAAAGAATGTAGCACATTTGTAACCAGCATGGTGTGCTGAGCTTGTCATTTTAGCTGTATCATGTGACTATTATATATACAAGAAACCGTGAATAACAAACACAATGGATACACTAGAGTCAATCCAGTTCATCTAGCTTGTCGGTGAGAAACTCCAGGTGGTGCCAGAAGATGTCAAAGTCCCTGATGATGTGATCAACCTGTCAGGGACGGGGAAGAAGGTCAAACTCCCTAGTGTCAACTGATCCCCTCTCAATGAGCAAGGACAGCGCCTGGTTTGAGGAGAAACCTGCATCGCGACCAAACGCACACTCCCAAGCCAAGTTGTGCAACTGCAGTTTATAAGACATTGATTATGTCGTGCACTTAATCTCAGTCCGACCATACTCACCTCTACTTGAGTGTGTTGCTCCATTTTCAAGTCCAGCTCAACCACTCGACCTTTTTCCACATCAAATGTGTGCTCAGACATGCAGTTGACTGTGGCAGCAAACCTGTCGTCTAATTGAAACGTCGTCTTTCTCTTGCATCGCAACACGTGGACGTTCCACCTAGCCATCTTGGGCTTGAACTGGACCAGATGACGAGCAGGGAACGACAGGGTCCCCACCATCTCCCTCACAACAGCATGGAGAGGCTCTCCTTCCGTCACGTACTCATAGTTGTAGAGACCTATACGTATGTCATATTTCCTGTGTGTGCAAAACATCTCGCTGGAAAATTCAATATGCAAAATCACATACATCACCTCTCAAGATGAAGGACGTCAAAGCCAATTTCTTTAGCCTCGTTCCTCCTAACCATCACAACTTGTAGGCCTGCCCAACCTTTTACGCTTCTCTGCAAGACCAAACGTATATCAAGCCTGGTTCCTCCCTCCAAGCCTCTTGCACCACACACAAAATCTCCTTCCACGTCAAAAACTTCGATAGAGTGACTTGTATTATCACTAAATGAGGACCTCAAGTGACGAACACCAACAGACTCCACACTATGTTATAGCAATTGACGATGTATTACTGTACGATATATGACATAAAAACTTACATGGGGTTAAAGTTCTTCTTGCCTCTGCTACTCTTGCTAGAGAGAAGCTGAACTAAACCTTCCAAACTGTAGTCCTTTCTGTATACACTGCCTTCGAACCGGCTCCACATAACTTTTCCAAGCCTGTGTAAGTGTATTCGAGGATAGTAGGTAGTAATTGTTATCACCAAAATGTCGATCAAACCTTGCAGAAAGTTGAATGATAAATTTTCTTTCGCCCTTTTCGTCAACCAGCATCTGCAAACTTCTGGTTAAGCAATCTCTGACATCCTCCTTGGTATTGAGATGCAGCCTAACACACACAATCTCCAACTGTTTACGACAACATCATGGAACTATACATTTTTCTTACAGAGGTTTTGCCATTGGCTCAGCCCCCTTGGATGCAGTAGCTCTGGCTTTCTTCTTTTTCCGTGAAGTGCGTGGATCAGCAGGTGGCTTATCTGCAGGGCTCACATCATCAGCGATCTCACCAACACCTTCCTGTTCTGCAACAGACAATAATAGCTACCACCAAACATTGACTATGTATGTGGGTGAACCTGTTCTGGAGTTCCATATAGTTTATACATGGTGGTCGAACAAACTGGTAGCATTGGACCATCTAACTCTCTGAAATGGTAGGAATTGTACCTGGTAGCTCCTCGTGGATTAATGAAGCATTGAGATGTTGCATAATAACTCTATGAAACCCACATTATTAAAAATCCATAATTAATATAGCTTCTATAATTATACCTCTTGGGATAAAATCGCATTTTCTCTATCAGTTGTGGTAGCTTTCCCTGTTCATTTGTAACGATCAAAACCTACAGTGGAAGGCACTTGGTTAAAAACCAAAAAAACCATGGTTTGCATATACCTTTTTCTTTTCAACTTCAATGTAGCATGACTTTGTGATAGAATAGAGTTTCTTTACATTGCTACCTCCTCTCCCTATAACATTTCCAACTGATAATCCTTCTGGGATCTCCAAACACTCCTGATACGTTTTTCTGTTAGTTCAAGAACTTAACGTAGCTTACCAAAGGTTGATACAGTTGGTCATCTGACCCGCATTCATATGTTCATCCTTATAGTGTAGCTACCTTCTAGGCTGGAGAGTGGCTTCCAAACTGGTAGTTTTATTTCATGGTTAGCTGAGTGAAGCGAGCCCAACTAGTTGCTCGCCAGCAATGCATTGCATTCCTCTAGTAAAGAAAAATGTCAGCTGTATATGTCATCCTGCTATCCAAGTAGGCCACAGCAACATGTTGGTACAATAGGTGAACCCGACCATGACAGTCGTGACATTGCTCTTACTATACTAAAATGATAGGTAGCTAACGTTATGAAAAGAAAGAAACCAAGATGCCTAAACCAAGAGAGAAGTCATTAGCTTCATAATTATGTCTTTACATGACAATTTACTGAAAACACCATTGAAGAGACATACCTGGCCACGAGATCGTGACGGTAAGGGCACAGCTCTCCCTTGGAGCGCTTTTCACATTTTCCCGTGAATTAAACCGAGTAGCAGTGGCCCAGAGGTGGGCGAGCCCTCCTCCTCCTCTTCCTCTGCCTCTCCCACCAGGGCGGCTGGTCATGTCGGGCTCGGTTTCTCTCTGCTGGGAGATCGTGGACGGTAAGGGCACAGTTCTCCGTTGGAACACTTTTCACATTTCCCTTGAATTTATACTTAGTACAGTGCAGGAGGTGGGCGAGCCCCTGCCTCTGTCTTTCCTCTGCCTCTCCCACCAGGGCGGCTGGTGATTGCCTCGAGGCTCGTTTCTTCTGCTAGCCGTTGTAGTCCTTAGAGTTAGAGTCTTCGCTTGTTTTCACGGCACATCTCTCGAACGCAGTCGTTTCAGGAAAATCGCCCTTTCGTTTTTCAGGCTCGGGTGGTTCTGAAGGCCGCTGGTTATCGCTAATAGGCCGCCTCGTAGCCTTGTAGTGCCAGATAAGCGTTGAACACCACACACACGGACACACACACACACACACACAGACGTACTTAGTATTTATAATTTAGTAGACACAGACCATGTAACCCTAGCTGCGCATGCGCGCCGAGGGTTGCATGTCATGACGTGACGTCCGTGCGCGCCTCATGCTGTCCCGCGCGCCTCCGGTCTGTTTACACACGTACGTACGTACACACGTCACGCGTGTTACGAAGCGGACAAAAACGTTAATTTAGATAATTCCGGTAAACGTTGCTTAACTCCCACGCAATGAACCGCGCTCCGCTTTGCCTAAAACAGAAGCTTTCCTCCATCCCTGGACGCTACGCAAGTTTAAAAAACGGTGCAGTTCAACGTTTCCCGTACGAATACCTTACGTTTAACGATTATAACACTGCGCATAATATCTTTCACCGAAACCTACCGCGCACGCTCTTTTCATGCTACACAACACCCACAAACAGCTGGTGGGTGTCGAAGTTTTGTCCAAGCTACTGCGCGCCAAAAGGAAGTTTTTTCTTCACCCATATACTCCACACATGTGAAGCCATACCCATCAGCTGTCCGTAGCAAGAGTCCCCAGTTCTGGTGCGTTTTTTCCCCGTTCTCAATATGGACCAATGATTATACATTATTATAAAACAGTAAAGTATGGAAGAAACAGCAGAGAACCACACAGAGTTACTAGGAAAGCATTGTAGGGTGTGTGCAGGGAGGCTTCAGCAGGCAAAGAGCAGGTCCACCTCTTTCTTGTGCACCAGTCACAGAGAAGAACTGAGAAGTGCTTTTGGTATTGAGGTTGAGAGAGATGACATCAAACAGCACCGGAGCCCCTACCGACATGCAGCAGCACTACACCTCACCCGTCTCTCATGTGTCCTGTGTGCATGGAAGTGCTGATGTCACCAGCCAGTTCCTGTGCCACTACAGGACCTCATTCCAACAGTGATACCAAAAATGATCTCCTAGAGGATCACGTGCTTCCGTGGCTGAGGCAATGGAGGTGTGGCTCGGGATTGATGGGAGAACAATGAGCCAAACAGATCCACTCGCACTTCCACCACTTGGAGAACTCCTACAGATGCGTTATATAGTCCTCTTGGTCTCCCTCTCGCCACGTATTTCCTCCCCCTATATACCTCCACGTGCAAGCTTGCAGAAATGGTCGCATACCTGTGTATTATGTAGCGTGCAATTGTGTATATGCAGTAAGGTTAATTTTCTCACAGGGCATGCTTCCGTCATGTGGGGTGTCCAGGATCCACTGCAAGCGACTGAATTCACATCATGCACCAACACATGCTGCACGGCCACGGACTGACATCCTACAGGCCCCAGTCAAAAATAGAAGAGTTGCTGAGTCCCGACAAACATACGTACATAGTGAACTTACCGAGCACGTCTTGTCCCACAGAAAAAATGCACCGTCTTGACTTGAACTGTCCCTTCCAGAGATGGGATTAGACGTTCTCGCAATACAGGCAAAAGCGCAGGAAAAACTTCACGTGGGTAGAAAACCGGCGTCTAATACGAACAACTCCGCTGCCGAATGGACGCGTGTTACTCAAACCGCTTGGGCTAACTTCACCGGACAAAGACGGGGGCCACTACTGGGCCATGTGCTAGGGTCTAAAAGGTGGAATGGAGCGTGTTTTCAAATCGTTTGTATGGAATAGGGCCAAACATTCCGCCTGTAAAACGGTTGCTAGGACGTTGCTACGGACATGTATGCGGGGGAAAATATTTCAGGGGTGCGTCTGAATGTCCGCGAAATGTATTGCGTGAAACACGCGTGACGTACGTACACCTCTAGCTCTCCGCCGGCCGGGCGGGGTTTAAGACGCCGCGCGCCGGCACGTGCAGGCTGCTTTGTGTGTGCAGCTAACAATGTCGCCACCTCCTGCGAGAAAGGACAGGCTGAAAATCTTCGCATCGTGTCCGAAAGTCGACAAGCAGATTTCTACAGTTGGCCTTATCCTCGCAGGATTTTTTATGTTTCTGCCGTTGTTGATATGGTGCCTCACGTCAGATTTCGGCTCGGGACCTCGTACAAGGTTTTACAGCTACAAATATCTCCCCGTTCCTTCTCTCCCCCTTCTCTCTCGTCACACATTGTGACTATCCCCGCATCTGCTGTAACTAATACCTCACGAGACGAAGGTGATGTCTGTCAAACTGTGCACATGGCAATGGTTGCTACTGGTAGCATGGGTGGTAGGCACCTCTACACTACAATAAAGTCTGTATTCGTGCATCGCTCCACTCCTCTGCATTTCCACTTTATCACTGACGACAGAGCTAAGACAATTCTCCAGGCAATGCTCGATACTTGGCTACTCCCCCGTGTGTCTCACGATTACTACGACTTACACCAGGCATTGGAGACTATAAGACTGGCCAATTCTTTAATCCACTGTTCGCAGGTTATTTCAATTTACCTCAACCTTCATCTAATTCTACCAGACAGTGTCCGTCTTATCATAGCCATAGAACCGACGTCTGTAGTGAATGTGGATCTGGCCCTGATATACTCAGTAACTGAGTCACGTGAGAATCACATGATATCAGTGTGTGGAGCTGTGTGTGTGTCCTACTGCTCAGAGGATAGTGGGGATCTTGGGCTGAGCAGGTGGGGGGCAGTAGGTATAAATCTCGATACTTCGCTGAAGAAAACGGAGATGATTCAGGCATTACGGAGACATCACTGCTCATCCAGTGCTGCTGACACTGTTGATAAAGCAGTAATGGAGCTAGCAGGTAGGGATCCTGCGCCATTGATTGAGGACGCATGTGAGCCTGTCAGGAATTATGACGGAGAGTTACTCAGACATAGAGAAATGGCAAAGTGTCCTAAAGATATGGAGCCACTTGTCCCTATACCCTCAAGTTACAACATGTGTGAAGTTTATGCATGGGAGAGAGTCGTCCAGAGACGAGAGGTTCCCTTCGTCCTGGGACACAGCTATACTGCCAGAGATGAGTACGACATTACCATGGCTACTCATCTTGACTACAACAGACTAGACCTAATGGGGAAGATTCTCACTCACTGGGACGGACCAGCAAGTGTGGGCATCCACGTGACTGATTCAGAGGTTCAGAGAGTGTTAGATTTCTTGGGAAACTCTACAGCACTGCGAGAGAGGGACAACGTGACGTACCACCTGGTGTTCAGGCTCGGCCCCTCCTACCCACCCAACCACATGCGAGAGATAGGACACAGATACGTGGCCACTCCCTACACCTTCTTTCTGGATGTCGATTTCATGCCGTCTCCTGAGCTGTACCAGAATCTACGAGAAAAACTGATGACTCGAGAGTTTGGTGACATTAGTAAGACTGCCGTTGTTATCGCAGCTTTTGAAACAGACGACAAGACATTTCAGATCCCTTCTGACAAGCCAGTATTGATCGAACTTCTTCTTAATAAAACAGTTCATCCGTTTCACCTGAGCGCGTACGAACCTGGTCACAAACCAACAAACTACTTAAAGTGGATGTTCGCCAAAAAACCGTACTATGCTCACTGGGACAATTACTACGAGCCTTACTATGTAATGAATACGTCCGTTGTTTCTTTCGATCATCGGTTTGTCGCTCGTTTTCTCAACAAGTGTAGCCACGCGTTGGAACTACACATGGCTGGCTATAAGTTCTTGGTTTCTCTCGACGACTTTGTCATCCATCTTCCTCATTTAAAGAACAAACAGAACATGAGTGTTCTGAGACAGTGCAACAACGACTGGTACGGGGATTGGATTAAGGAGAAGAGAAAACAATATAATTACACTGGTACTGATGTTCGGGATTACATGGTTAAGCCTTAAGCATGCTGCATAATAATCTATTCTTCTTGCTTGAAGCATACACAGAGAGTCAGAGGGTTATATAATTATTGCAAGGAATATTACAGACTTGTCCACACCATTTAGCTCCCCTAGTATACACCTGTATCTCTCTTTCATAGCACAGCATTTTTTTTCCATATACAATGCCTGAAAGATCTAATATAGACATTTCTTCTGTACCATTGTGATATCCAGATTAAAGTATAATTCTTAACAGAGTCTATATGCAAGCCTCGCTCCCATTACCCTCTCACCCCTATAAAATATATACCTTTCTTTCCTGAAAAGAACAATCCATTATAATGAGACCGACACTTTCTCCTGTCCCATTGGTGTCCAGAATATAGAGAGGAATTTCACTGTCTATCAAGACCATGCGGACAAAATTTACGTCGTTTGGGCTTACAAAAACAGTCATAAGGTCCAATACAACAAGTTTGGGAGTCGGTATATCACTAAGTACGGTATATAGGGATGACACAGGTTGTCCTGCATTATGCCCATACATTTGAGATTTTCGGGTTTCACTTTCAATTTCAATCAGATCCAACGTTTGACACATCAGACTAATTTGTATCGTCGCAAAGAGCATGTATCCAAGAAATAGCTTAAATCGTATAATTGGTACTTTCAATTTTCTTCTTCTTCTTCTTGTTGTTGTTGTTCAACAAGCGTATCTCAAAAACCAGGTAAGATATGGAGATCAAACTTTGCACAAAGATTGGAATCCATGACAGGTCGTGCAAGAGCATTTTTATTTCTTCGTAAACAATTTTGTTTACATGTAAACAACAACAAATAGCCCCAGGTAATAGAGGCAAATAAAGTGTGCTAACTGGGTAAAGTGTGGAATATAGGGATAAAACTTTGTACACACATGCAACCCATCATTAGTATCAAAATGTAAACATTACAAGTTTGTAAACAACAACAAACAGCCTCAGGCAATAAAAACTTGTAAACTATATTATTGCCTATAACGTGCTTATGGTGGGACTTCTAACAATGAAAATTGGTATACTGATGTTCCATGATAAGAGTTCATCGAAACAGAAATTACAAGTTAGTAAACAACAACAAACAGCCTCAGGCAATGAATACTTGTTAATGATGTTTGTGCCTATAACTTGCTTATGGTGGGTCCTCTAACA